ATGATATTGTGGTACAGAAAGCTCCTTCGTCAGGTGTCATAATAAATCAGTGTGTGGCACCTTGGTGGAGTTTGAGGTGACAAAGGCAGCCTCTCTTGAAGCTCCAGTTCCAGAGCCCCTGGAAGGCAGTACATGTGCGTAGGGACACAGAGAGGCACGAGTGCCGAATGATGTCATCGTGGCCGAGAAGCCAGCAAAACCCGGGTAGGAATCTGGCACAGGAACTGAGCACTGAAGATGCAGGATTGCAGAGGAGCCGTAGTCACACTAGCCGGGTCATCAGCAGGGAGGCAGACTAGTACAGGTGACAAACAGGAGTAAAGTCGGGAACATGCAGGTGAAGTAGTACCAAGCGACAGGCAGAAGCAGTAGTCGGGAACGAGCCGGAGTCACAGGAGCACAAAATAGCAAAAAGAGTCAAACAAGCCGAGTCGATAATGGATGAACAAATCAGACGCAGGATCTTAGGAACACAGGAAGGCTCTCGATCACTTAACACTGGATGCTTGGATGTCACAGCCTTAAATAGCCCGTTTTGCGCCACAGCTTGTAATGAGCGCATGCACATTTTCCAGCGAATGCTGGTGAGCACGCACACAAACCGGTGGCCGCATGCACTATGGTGCATAGACCTGCGCAGAGGCACACGGCTGTGCACAATTCTGTGAGCCAGACTCATGCATATGTGCATGTGCAGCCTCCTGGTATGGTTCAAGCGGTGCAGTCTGCACACTCACAACCCACCCAAGTCATTTTGCCCTTTCAAAGCAGGAAATGAATGCTCTGCAAGTAAGTATTTCAAAATCACAGCATTTTACACCTGACATGTCTATGTTATTCTTAATCATCATACATAGAGGGATTTATTGCTAGAACTTGATTTTTGAGTGTAAAGGTCCGCTTTAAGAGTACAATATGCGAAAGAACGTGTGGTATAAAACACATACTGTACGTACTGCTGTATAAACGGTCCATCCGAGAACACACTCAAGTGTCAGTACGCCTGCTAAATGTATGCGAGTGAGGTGTCATTAGATTGCTCAGATCACAGACAAAACTGAATAAGCAAATTGGAGTAGCTTAAGCACATGTGATCACTGTGATGGTCAAGAAAAAAGATCCTTGCTGCCCTCCTTACCTGGATTCCCATATGAATATGCAAGCGGGTGCTTGAAAAGACAGCGGATGGTGCCACCAACATATAAATAATCAAAGAATGTCACCAGCACACCAGACCGATCATTACAGCAAATAAGTGTTCATTTATTGACGCATGCTGTCTCTCGTTTGCAAGCCCTTTCGGGGCCATGTAAAGTCCCCTTCATCAAGCTCAGAGATGCTGAGCCTAATGTAGGGGACCCTGCGTGGCCCCGAAAGCGCTTGCAAACGAGAGACAGCATGCGTCAATAAATGAACACTTGCTGTAATGATCGGTCTGGTGTGCTGGTGACATTCTTCGATTATCCACTGTAATGGCCAATCACAGTGACCATATGTGTAAACAAAGTAGTTCTATGCACCCCCTCTTCTCCCAGATCGTGTCAGAGAGAAGAGCTGTGCTGCCGACCCATTGCATCACCAGTCACCAACGAATACATTGTACAATATACATCAGACACCGAAGAAAACATTTTATTACAGTGTCAACCAGCCAAAGCCAGGTTTACCCCTGTGCCTCCTCAAATCTTACAAAGGGGGACAGACATCAGTGCGTCTTCCCTGACTAGCCATCATTTGCCCTATTTGAAAATCATTTAGTCACACGTGTGAGAATCTATACACTGTGACAACCATTTTATTTAGTCACGTTGCTGTCAGTTCTATGTAATGAAAGCTTTCAGGCTTGATTCCCTGGCAAGTATAATTTTTCAGCATTAGGCTTGATCACCTGGCAAGGAAAATTTGTCAGCAATATAATTTTTTCTTTATTCTGGGAGTTTTTGTACTGTCCATGCACTCCAGGCTCTCTGAAAATGTAATAGGCAGTCAGAAATCAGTTGCATAATTTATGCTATTTGAAAGTCTAAAGGTGCTCCTTTCATTTTGTGCTCAGTCAGCAAAAAGGTTCACACATGTGACATCCCCATATTCCTGAAGAGTAGCTGAATGCACATGCTGTGTGTGAGAAATAAAATAACTTTTGTGGGGACAAAAAAAATTAGATCTTCAAAGGATTCACCATTCCTCTTAACAAATATCTTGGGTTATCTACTTTCCAAAAAGGGGTCATTTTGGGGGTGTTTATACTGTCCTAGCCCTTTAGAGCCACAAGAAATGTGATAGGTAGTCAGAATACCAGGGTCCATTGTTTGTAGATCTTTGACACAGACTAAATATTATACACTAATACACTAAAGCAGGGGTGCCCACAAGGTCGATCGCGATCTACCAGTCGATCGCGTAGCGATCACTGGTAGATCGCCATGTCCTCTCCTCCCGCCGCTTCTCTGGACCCCCGCTGCTCTCCCCAGCGGGGTTCCGAGAAGAAGTGAAGGAACTGGTGGCGGGGGAGGGCGGAGCCGCTGTCACAGAACTAATGCAGAGCAGTGAGGAGAGAGAGAGACGCTCGGCCAGGATCTGACAGCCGCCGGTTTAAGTAGTAACCAGCACACTCTGTATGCAGCTTCAGTATCTGTAATCTGGAATGATAAAGGGGTCACTGTTTTAGAGAAGGTTAGGACTGTATGATACGTTAAATAAAATATTAACCGTTCTGTAAGTGAAAGAAATCATGAAAATAAAATAAAAAATAGTCCAAAAAAAAAAAAAATTTTTTTAAATGTTTTTCTTGCCTCAGGTGCAAAAGGAGCTGGCTACGGCTATGCTCCCGTGGTGCTCGTGCGGCTGCCAGCTGAATGCGTCAGACGCTGCAGATGGAAAGGTGCAGGACACCCCATGTGCAACGTCGGCCACACGAGCACCACGGGAGGACAGGATGCCGGGACCTGTAGTGCGCACTGGAATGTAAGCCGGCCGACTCCCTGCGTTCAGGTGCGGGAGGGGGTGTGGAGCTGTATTGAAGTCAATGGCATCACCCACAGTGCGATCGCCCACACTCGGAACGCAGGCATGTTAGTGCCTTCATTCCGGTAGAGTGCGATCTGCAAAAATAGTGCTCGCAGCATTTTTGTGGATCGCACTGGACTGGAACACAGGCACTAATGCAGGCGATCGCACTGTCGGCGAGGGGCCTGCCTGCGAAGCCTGGCTGCGGTGCCATTGACCTCAATGCACCGCCACGCCCCCTCCCGCCCCTGAATGCAGGTGTTTTTTTTCGTTGGTAGATCTCAATGAGCTCGTCATTTGAAAAGTAGATCTCCAGACGAAAAATAGTGGGCACCCCTGCACTAAAGAAATATTTCAGAATATTCTGGTATTTTTTAATTTACATAGTAAAAAAAAAAAAATGGGGAAAAAAACCCCAGTGGTTATTAAATACAACCAAAAGAAATGTTTTTATTACTCTGAAAATGACTCAGACATCCAATATTGTCTGTCAAACTTTCACAGCACTGAAAACTGAAAAATGCCTTGGTAATGAAGAAGTATACAGACAAGTACTCAAGTGTTATTAAAGTCACATTCTCCACACTAATGCTACTTTAAGGACTTACCTTAAATTATGCCTCTTGATCTGATCATCTTCTTTCCAGTAGTTTTCATCAGGAGTCCCTCCAGCGCTGACTGCTGTGTTCCACGGAGTCTGTCCGCGTGCATGCTGCCTGCATTGACCTACACTGTCTCTCTCCTTTTCTCCCGGCCATAGATCTCTACTGTGCATGCACCTGCCCCATCATGCTGCTCGACCACTCAAGAGTCTTCAGACGGGAGCCAGCGGCAGAGACACAGTTAAGTAAAATCCTTTTTGGTAACTTTTTTATTATGTTTTTGCATATATCTACTGCTAGCAAGCAGTAGATATATACCAAAAAAAGAGAGTTTAATTATACTTTAACTTACAGGTGGCAACAAGATGAAAGGTAATGTGATTGACTCCATGTTGTCATTGAGGTCTGGTACTTTCTTTTGCACAACTCTTAGTTTAGTATGGGTTCATTTTGTGGCATTTCAATATGTTGTTGTAGCATATAACTAAATAATCAATATTTAAATATGATTTTGGTAAACATTTGCACGGCTATCATGCAACTCCAACATCTTAATTCTACAGGACCTCAGCTTTCAGAAAATGTATGGTTTGGGAAAGTGATATTTCTAACGTTTAAGCCTTTAACCTTTTCGCTGCCACGCCCTTCGGACTGCTTTTAACCTCAGCTGGCCACACCATTGTTGTAATTTTTCCTATTGTTTTGATTTTCTATTGCTGTGTTGCTAGCGTTTGCAAAAGACCCCCCCCAAACCATATATTTTCTGAAAGCACAGGCCCAGTAAAATAAAAAGATGGTGCTACTAATTTTGTAGGTCCTGCAATAATTGTGCACATTTTTATTAAATCACTATTAAAACTATAAAAATACACAATTAAAATGATGAAAGCACACTACAATCAGTATTAGTGCACCAAAAAATTACAGCGTCTCTGATCTCTCCTCCCTGCTCGCTGCTCTCCTGCTGCTGGGCCATCCTGACAGACATCCCCATAGTTAGAGCCGACACGTGACATTGAAACATTGATCAGCAAGTGAGCAAAAACATACCGCTGCTTGCTCACTTCCCAATCATCTTCCTGCAGAGAACGTGGATTCAGGCTCACTGTCAATCAGCCAGCAAGGTGGATCTCGACATTATTATCGGGATCCGTCCCGGCTGTGGCGCATATATACTGAGTTTTGGGTTATGGGAGGACGTTAGAATATGTCCTAATGTGACCCTAAAGAGAACTATGGGATAAAAAGGTTACCCCATAGTTCTCCTTTAATGTGCGTATAAAAATAAATAAAATTGGTTTGGCCATCTATATAGTAAAATGGAAGGCACCACAAAATTAACTCAAGTTAAGTACCCACTGAAAATACACTATACTTTACCTTTAATCTTACCGAGTGGTAGATTGTCCTTTTGTTGGTTGGTTGTGTTATCCCTGCTGTTAGCCTCATCACTGCATCCTCCCACAAAATGATTCAAAATTGAAGCATTACTTGAGGTTGGGGACAGCTCAGAACCTTTAATTTTGGCAGTTAGATTCAAAGGTTGTGATGATCCCTAAGAAAGGCAGAGTATTAGAGTAACATTAGCATTTTAATGTCACAGGACAAATCTTCCTCTCCCCAATAATTGATATTTACCTGATGTCCTATGGTGGGTGCACTTGAAGGTGTGGGAGTGTGAAGAATTTGCATGGAACATTCCACTGCAATTGAATAAGACTAGTATACTTAACAAAGAAGCAATCAAATAGACCAGATTAAAATATCAGTTACAGTTCACAGACAAGCAAGTAAATACACATTTGAAACACATACATTGAAATATTTTTAATTTGTCAAAGAATTTGCATTTAGGTTGAGTAAGTCTGCTGATCCAAAAAATACAAAAAAGGTCACAGCACTCCAGCATGTAGAAAAGTCAATGTTTATTGACTTCAAAAGGTGTCACTTCATCAGAGCAAAGGCTCTGATGATGCGACACCTTTGAAGTCAATAAACATTGACTTTTCTACATGCTGCAGTGCTGGTGACCTTTTTTGTATTTTTTGGACTTATGTTGCAGAGGCATCGATGGGTGCGTACGTTTTGTTTTTTTAGTCTGCTGATCCAGACACCCCTACCAAACCAGCAGCACAGCTTGGTAAAAAAAAATACACCCCAACCTACTGATTGCTCAGTGAAGAATCAGCCCACTCTGCTGTCTTCCTTTGACAGCATGTTCTCGTTCAGCACACAAGCTCTTCAACAGAGCCTAAAGAAAAGACTTATCAGATGGCTAATGTATTATGAAGGATGGCACCATTAGTATCAATTTGAAGAGATGCTGTACATCAGAACACCAAGATGCATGTCCACAACAATTTTAGCCCTCGTTCACACCTGAACGTTTTGTAGCGCGTTCTACGCTCGACGAACGCTCTACAAAACGCTCAAAACTATAAATCCCATTGTATTCAATGGTCTCGTTCCCACCTTGGCGTATTTCCGCCCGTCCCTAACGCGCTACAAAACGGCCCACGCCTGAAAAGGTACATGTACTACTTTGGGCCGTTTTGTTGCGGGTTTCCATTGGGATACAGCCATTAATGTTCAAATATAAGCAACATTTTGGAGACACTATTTTGGAAAACTGATATAGCCACAGGACAAACAGCAAAGTTAAATAGGACTGAGGACCATTCATAAGTAACCATCCTCCAAACACCAAATACACCAATAGGATGGTGCTTAAAACAACTCACCTTGCACCACACTACATGTTCCATCAGTATAAAAAAAGATATGCTATACTTCCCTTATGTGGGGGGGGATACAAAATCCCAAAAAAGTAAGAAAAAGCAGCCTGATCACTGCAAGGTAAACTGCATAGAAAAATAAAGGGACGCAGCCCAGATGTGGTTAATCATGCCATGGCAACTTAAATTTTCTGTGCCTGCCTTGAACTCATGTATTCAAGGCAAGGTACGGCATTCTGTAAATGGCCAAAGGGGTGGGGTGAGGAAGGAAAGGGCACTAGTGCTTCTGCCTATATATGCAGCAGCTCTCAAATCCACAGTGGGCAGGAAGTACAGTGGGAGCTGAATTTATTTTCCTTGAAGAGGCAATTAAGGGGGGAAATGATCTCCATGTATAAATACTTAAATGGGTATATATTAGGGATGCACAGAGACCAGTATCAGTGCAGATACTGGACATTTTCACTAATACTCGTATTCGTGAAAATGCCCCAAAACTAAGAGCGGTATCAGCGCTTCAAATTTATAAACAGGAGGGACTGCTGTGAGGCCCCACGCTTGTTGGGAACCTGCAGCAGCTGTCTTTTAGAGAGCCGGTCCGGCCGCACATCTCCTTCTCCTCTTTTCCCGCCGCCCACACGCAGCCATGGTGAGATCCGCGCCCACCCCTACAGCCCTGGTTAAACCCACAGGCAGCCCTGGTAAGCCCCAAACACAGCCCTGGTTAAACCCGCAGGCAGCCCTGGTGAGACCTGAACGCAGCCCTGGTGAGACCCCGCACAGCCCATGATGGTTTTCTGCATTGCTGTATAATGTATTGCTGCAATTTGTAGTCCACTATAGCTGGTGACATTTTGCATTTCTGTATAATGTATTGCTGAGATTTGCAGTCCCTCTACAGCTTGGAGTCAGTGGCAGAACTACCAGGGTCGCAGCAGTTGCAGCAGTGACTGAGCCCTGGTGCTCCACCACTGTCTGCTGTGTTTTCGAAAAACTGTCAAAAGGACGCTAAAAACTTGAGGAAAAGTATTGGTACTCGGTACAAGGGGCCACTCTTTGTATCTGGAGGAAACAAGTTTTAACACCTGCATATGGAAAGGCTTCTTCACAGTAAGAGCTGTGAAAATGTGGAAAATGCTTCCTCAGGAACTAGTTCTAGCCAGCTTAGTAGATTGAGAAAAAAAAAAAAGCTGGAAGCATGCGATAAATTAACGTTTGTAAGTAATAACAAAGCCATAGCCAACTTAGAAGTTTGTCAGTCCACCTACTCCACAGATGCAGATGGATAGGACAATTTGGTGTACTGGTCACATCCCATTTACAGCAACCATTGATATCATTTCCAAAGAGTTTTTGACTGTTGGAAGTGACAATAGAACTTGAGTTGCCCCTAGCAGCCTCTGGGAAGGAAAAGGGGATATAGTGTACAGGGAGCCAACCCAATTTGGGTAAAAAAAAAAATTAACTATTGCTAAGTATATATAGGAATCTCAGCAAGAAAATCGGTAAGCTCCAGGCAAGCTCAGACAAGGGTGGGCTGCTGATATCCAACCATAAGGAATCATGCCCTGGGTTCAGTGTTGTAAAGTTCAGGAGGAAAATGGAGGGACATCCAGAGGTCCAGAAAACATTCTATGAGCATGTAGCAGGGGAAGGTTTGGACAATCAGCTGGCAGAACAAACAGTTCTAGCAATAGGTCAATCTGAATCCTCATGAACAATGATTGGACGACCGCTTTACCCAGCTCTTCCCAAACAATCTGAGGCCTCACATGGGGTTGTAAGGAACAATGGCTTGCCCTCCATAATCACTTGCAGATTGGCTGGATAAATCATAATACATTAGACTCCATGAACACAGATGTGCTTTTTCACTTCGGTGAAGAACGCTTATGGACTACAGAAGGGATAGATGGATACTCTGTTACCATTAAACTGGAGTTCCCCTTTAAGGCATGCCACTTTAAGGATTAAAACTTCATGTTGGAAATGTAGGGTCTGGCGAAAGCTCCTGGGAGGTAGTTGGGGGGGAGGTGGGAGATGGTCACAGTGCTGAGAAAATGTCCCAGGGAAGTGTCCTAAGATTTTCCAGAGAAGTCTGCATAATGTAAATGATTGTGTCGTGACCAGTTTTCAAGATCATCAATTTACTTTTTTTAGCGGTCATATCCTTAGCTGATGTCTAGACGCTGCAATCAGAGATGATATCATCAACAGTACTAATACATTCTTCTGCAGTTGCAGTGTGCTCACAAATGGTCTGTACATTCAGTTTTAAAAATGAAAAATGGTTTCTATTTGTGTGGCCAGAGAGCTTACAGTCTTTTATAACTTCCAAATTCTGAAGCAGCGTGGGCTTAGACTATTTGCCTCCAGTAGCTGCAGATCGGCAGGAGAGGCTGAGTGAGCATCTAAGGCTGAGTGAGGGAGGGCTCATCTTGTGTGCCCACTACAGCAGAGGGTTGTGGTGATGGAATGTGGTCTGAATGCAGTGGTCCCGACCTAGACAAGGCTACATGTGCTCTGCCGCCATCCTCTGCAGGGTGAAAGCACAAGGTTTCGGCTGTGAGGGGTGCAGTGAAAGAAGATGGGATTTTCAGCCACGGAGGGCTCTTGTGAATTGTCAATTTTGACCATTCTGTCACTGAGAGTGAGTGTTCTGGGTCTGGCATTGCTGTGAAGCTGGATGAGGGTGAGGGTACACAGGATGACAGGCCACAGAGCTACTAAGTTAGCGTCCTTCCAGGTCCATGCCCACTTTAATGTAACATGTTAGGTAGACCTACGCTAGGGTAAAAATGTTTAGACCAAATATTTTGGGCAAAACTGCACATTTGCAATAGAATGCCAGCTGACTAGCTGAGAATAAAAAAAGCAACATGATTTTTTACTTTTTCAGATCTCTGTTTTTAGGAAGCGTATAGGTGTAGAGGGTGAAAAGATTTGTGGGGGTCTGTTTACAATGCTGAACTTAACTTTGCTTAACATTTGCAGCTGAAGATGTAACTTCTAGAATGGCAGCTTCTAACCAAAATGAATGTGGGGAAAACACACAGATACATGGTATATGTAACAATCTTTGGTAGCCACTATGTAAAGTGGAAGATATAAATATGAAAAAAACAAAGTTTTACAAATATTTTTTGCTTTTAAATCCAACTTTTGCTATTTCCTAAAATGTTTACATAAGTAGCCTGGCCACCAGAGGTGCAAGGAGTCCATCAAGGCCTGGCACCGAAAAACTTAACAAAAACCTTAACCAGTGATATTCACCTCTCCAACAATTCTTTCTCCATCACGGCCACGTATGGGGGAGCACGTGATGTGCCTAGCACCCAGTCACATTGCAGAGGGGGTGATGGCACTGCCCCGACTCTGACACCAGCCAACACCAGGTATTCTGGCAGTTGCCAAAATGGTAGGGGGGAGGATCGACTTGGCAGTGC